AACCAATTAGTAATTAGCTACAGAAAATAAAATCAAATGTATTAGTCTGTTAATAGTTAATAAAAAAAATATACAAAAATGTTTAGAGTAAGACATGTGTGGAATTGTGTGAAAGTGTGTGGAAGTGTGTGAAAGTGTGTGGAAGTGCGTAAAAGTGTGTGAAAGTGCGTAAAAGTGTGTGAAAGTGTGTGGAAGTGTGTTTGAAAATGAATGTATTTATAGTCTGGAGAAGGAATGAGTGCAATAATTTAATTTGCAGGACGTATTACAGGTTTAACAGGTAGACATTTTATTTATACCTCTTCCTTTAATTCTTATTTGCAGTTAAAAGGAAAATTTTAATACATTTGATTGGCCTAATGAAAGTTTTCGTTTAGATTTATTTATGTTTTCCTAGTTTTTACTGTAATAAACCTTTTTTTTTTTGACAGATAAATCAGACTTTATTTATTCATAGCCGATGTGACGAAGTCACTAAATTTTCTTTTTAATTAATTGTAAAAATGTATATTTTAATTTATTTTCGCCTGGGAACGCCATATTTTGGTTCCCTCGTAGTTTAAAATAACTTCGTATGTACCGAAATTCAAAGTCAAATTTGAACAGTAAATTTCTGGTAGATTATCTCGTTCTACTCGGCCAAGGCCGAAAGTTCGACTTTTTTATTTTTATATTTGTAAAAAGTAAACTGGAGATGGTTTCCCCACTCCGAAATTGTGCGAACGTGGAGCTTGTCTCCCGAGAAGGACTAAATACGAAGGAGGAAACAAATTTCGCTTCCATTAGTTCCTGCACTCCGAAGCTCTTCTTAAAACCGCCGTCATAGTAGTACTACGTAGTAAGTGAACCGCTTAGTTATTTTTCCCGTTAATGTTTCCATTATTTTCGTTTCGAAATTACTTGCTTTGTTTTCCCCGCTGGCTCTCAATTCACCAGTATTATTATAACTAATAAAATTTTCGTAAATTAGCGTTGTCGAATCTTCCTAAGTCGAGCTAACTGCGGATCTCCCAGTCAGGCTCTGATTTAGAAAATTTTGCCAACACGCCGTCCTCACATTTATAAATGGTACATAGATTATTTTTTCTTTCGAAATGAAATTCCTACACTTAAAAAATTACACTCACAAATAGAAAATAGCCCCACTCTTCCAAATATATTATATTTTCATCAGCAAAAAATATTACATGAATTAAATTTTCATTACCTAAACGTTACAGAAACAGCTTTTTAACAGAGAAAGACGAAATTATTGCGTGGAGACATTATTATTTAAGGAAAATAGCGGACCCAAGCAATCAGCATAAACAGGTATTTTATTTAAATGAAACATGGGTCAATGCTGGACATACAGTAACAAAAAGTTGGCAAGATACCTCAATCAAAACTGAAAAACAAGCCTTTATGAAAGGGATCTCTTGTGGATTAAAAAATCCAACAGGAAAAGGAAACCATTTAATAACAACCCACATTGGAAGTACCGATGGTTTTTTGCCAGATTGCTGATTGGAATTCTAAAAAATTCATTGCCTTTACAGAGCCAAGAACCAAAAATATCCATTTTATAGGGATTTTTAAGTAATCAACTTGTTATGTTGGTGATACCGATTTTCAAAAACATGTTAAATTGTAAGCGAATATAACAAACGAGGTCCGAATAATAAGACATTTAATAGTTATTTATGTACCAAGTCAGCAAAGTGATTCTTTATCGAAGGTACCTGAGATTATGAGTCGAGCGAGAGAACCGAACGAGGCAAGTTCGATAAATACACTTTGCTCACGTGGTCTATACAAACTTTTATCGCCAGCTGTAAATAATTATAATGAATAAAAAAGGAAATATTGTAAAGGATTATTAATTAATTAAATAATATTTATATATCGATTATTCTAATTGAATAATAATTTATTTTTTAATAAAAAATAATCGACCTCTTGATTAATCTAAAACAATCGATTAAACGAAAATAATCGTTTACTCCTCGAAAATAATCGATTCATTAAATAATCGTAAATAATCGAAAGTAATCGATTAATCGAAATTAATCTATAATTGTTTAACCGAAAATAATCAATTCATTCAAAATAACCGAATATTTTTAGGTTTTTGTACCTCAATGGTTACCAACTGGACTCTATTACTAAGCCTCCGCTATCCGTCCGTCTGTCAACGGGCTGTATCTTATGATCCGTAATAGGTAGACAGTTAAAAATTTTACAGATTCTGTATTTTTGTTGCCGCTACAATAAAAAGTAATAAAAATGGTGGACTCCCGCACTAGAAAGTTGTTCTTTGGCTTTTTTTAATTTAATGTATTTAAAAAGTACCTACTTAGTAAAAATTTTGTACGACGGTGCGGAACCCTTTATGCGCGAGTCCAACTCGCACTTGGCCGCTTTTAATTTGGTAATTGTCTGGCCTTATAAATCATTTAATAATAATTGATTACCTTTATGGATATGAAACCTGGAGTCATAGTTAAATATTTCTAACAAACTTAGTCCAATATTCATATTTATGAACAACATAAACTAAGAATCAAACGAACAACATCACTACCCTCAAACCAACATGCATACACCCCAGGTAGATCTACTGATTCAGCCCTTCATCTAGTTGCTGGCCGGATAGAAAGATCCCTGGACAATAAGAAGTCCGCCTTGGGTGTTTTTATAGACATAGAAGGTGCTTTTGATAAAACCACCTTCTCAAAGATAATACACTCACTAACTAACAGGAATGTTCCACAAATGGTTAGTGGGTGGATACATAACATGCTCTAAAAGCGAGCAGTAAACATATGTGTAGAAGATGTGAATATGAGAGGCTTGGTTGCGAGGGGATATTCACAAGGAGGAGTGTTAACACCTCTACTGTGGAATATGGTCCTCGACACCCTCATCAGCCGCCTCAATAATGGCAGTCATTACACAATAGCATATGCAAATGACCTGATCATTCTGCAAACAGGAAATTTTGAGAACATACTCTGGGAAAGAATACAAGTAACTCTAAAAATTATAGAACAGTGGTGCAATCTATCAATTCTAAGAAGACAGAAATGGTCCTTTTTACAAGAAAAAAGATGAAAATGGAATTAAAACCTCCAGAACTCCTAAACACAGAACTAAACTTGGCAACAGAGGTAAAGTACCTAGGTCTCACCTTTGACATCCAGTGTAGAAAATAGAGTTAAAAAAGTATATATTGCTTATGAACAATACCGCCGAAACGTGGGCCGCCCCTGGGGTTTTTTCCTCAGAGTCGTCGCATGGTCTTACACGGCTATCATAAAACCTATGCTAACATACGGTGCAGTTGTCTGGGTACCGAAAACCCAAAAATTAAAAGCTATCCGTAAACTAGCACAATTTCAAAGAACAATATGTCTCAACATAACAGGAGCCATGAAAACAACACCAACCAGAGCCATGGAAGTCATTCTTAGTCTCACTCCCCTTGATATTTACATCAAGGAGGTTGCTCTGATGACAATGACATGCCTCCGCACGGTTGAAATAGAACCAAATGTAGGATCTGGTGAGGCAAGACGTCGCTTTTGGCAGGAGGCACTCAATACGTTCCCACTGCTTTAAGCGAACATGGACTCCATCTCACCGATATATATCTTCCATAAGCCATATAAAATTATAATAGAACAAATAGAAGAGCTGAAAGTGGCAGGTACGATTCATATCTATACTGACGGTTCTAAAACAAAACAAGGCTCAGAATGTAGAATATATTCCAGATTCCTAAACCTAAACATGGACTGTAAGCAATAGTGCCAGTGTAGTTCATACAAAGCTAAGGGGGATTCTCTAAGTAGCAAAAGAAATAACCAGAAACAATATCACTGGAAGGAACATGCTCATCTGTACAGATAGAAGACAAGCACTACTCACCCTGAACAGACCACGAATTTACTTAGGGTTAGTACTAGAATGTCACGAAGCTTTGGTCGAAGTATCCATCAACAATGTGGTTACCTTAATATGGATCAAAGGTCACGCCCCATTGAGAGATAATCGTCTTGCTGATTCACCAGCCAAGAAAGCAGCCAACCAAATACTTTTTGGACCAGACAAAATCGGTAGTGACAGACCTAATTAAGAAACATTCCATTGTAAAATTCAAGAAAAGAAAAGACGAAATAAACTGCAGAGTTACCAGGGAGCTTTTACGTAATCCTGACAACACTGCAGCAAATAAATACTTGACTATGATTAGACAGAATCTGAGCCTAGTCACAGGTATTGTGACTGGTCATTGCCAAGTACGGAAACATCTCCATATCATGGGGCCGTCAGAATCCGCACTCTGCAGAGGGTGCAAACAAGAAGATGAGACCATCGAGCATATCCTTTACGAATGCCCGACGCTCTCATTTATTAGAAGATTTGTGTTCGGCGAGTATCGGCAAAGCTAAGAGGTGCCTATCATCTTAGGAGGGTGCAAAATGGGCCTAGTGAGGCCTAAGTGCCGTGGGGGGTAACCCACCCTCCACACGTTACAGATACAGATAAGATTCAAATGACAAAGAACACCAGGTTATGTAAATTACTCACCTATAGTTTCCACTTTAGGATGAACCAAATTTAATTTTGTATCTTTTTTCGTATCTTTTTTACATTTTTCAGTGGAAAATGAAATACGATGATTTACTAATTTTTGTAAAACAAACTCTGGAAACTTTGCACATATTTGCATTTATAAATATGTATAATGTAGATTTTAAATAAACTTATTACACTAAGTATATCTTATTGTTGAATTTTCTCTTTTATTGTGAGAAGATTAAGTTATGTTTATTGACGAATAACTCATGAAAATGACAGTTATGAAAAAACAATTATTGTTATAGTAAATTAATACGATTTTCGTTCAAATATACTTATAACTTTTATTTAAAAAAAAAACTTAATAGTAAACAATATCTGTAAAGGCAATTAATTTTTTCAAATTCAAAGTAAAAGTAAAAACGTGTAAATCCGGACCTGCTTCTCCGCCAGTTTAGTGAGTGCAAAAGACACGTCTACCAATCCCAATTTTGCATATCAAAAATAGTTACAAATGACTTATTTTCAGGTTTGCTTTATCAATATTTTGGACGATGTATGACATGTCGCCTCTCAACTGTGTAGTACGTTATCTGTCACCTTATCCGGTGATAGTATGTCCCCAAATTTCCCAATGCGTCTTATTGTCGTTGAGGGCCATCATGTCACCAATTCCCCGATCTCGTAATGCCCCAATGCATCTCCCTCTCGATGTCAAGATACCCTATTACATCATATGGTCGATGAAGACCAGCAGTGAACGACAAAACTCTAGAGTCTAACTCCTTGTTTTCATCTGTCACATGAGTTGAACCTTTTGAATGTTCTCGTATATAATATTGTTACGCTGATTTTCGGTAAACTTAATTTATTTCAAACTAAAAATTTTACAGAATAAAAAGGTTATCCATATCTCAAATGTGGTATATCCGTAAAGGAAAAGATAAACTCTAAGTCTTGACCACAAAAATTATTTATTGTTATTGAAAACAAGGAAAGCGACTAGTTTCGGTCAGTGACCATCATTAGGCATAGTAAAAAGACAAAATTAAACTAATAAAGAGACATCCAGCTAAACCGCCTATTGAGCTCTTGATCTGATCTGATTTGATATATGAACATAAATAATCCTTGTACCAAAACTCTTCCATACTTTCTAATAACAATTTGACAACTTCATGAATAACACCGTGAAAGTTTGCATTTTTGTCACACAAAATTAGTCTTGTAGTTGTTCATCGTTGGTCCTTAGTTTAAGTCTCTATTAAAGGCTTTTATAAAAGGAAAACCTCTCTTTTTTATTTTCTGTAGCTAACAACTAAATTCGCGATTTGAAAACGGTTAAATCTAAAAAAAAAAAATGTATTTTGCCGATTCTAAAATTATTCAATAAAATAATATGAATAATAAATTGTTACCTTGACTGCAGAGTCAGTTGCGTTCCATAATTTTTGTACTAAAGAACTGATTGAATATGATACTCGTTTCGGTACTTTACCAATGATCCTACTTGTAAAGTTAATCATATGCACAGCTCTTCTAGCAGACTCTCTAGATAGGAGAACTATCAGTTGCTCCAAATTTTCTGGTCTGGCCTGATTTTCAGGCTCATCTTTACTTAAACTTGCCCACAGTTCTTTTCCTTTTTGATATGCCAAAACTGGATCTGTTGCAATCTATAGAAAACACATTCAATCAATTAATTTTTGTTGCAAAAAATATTAATATATAAGAAATAACTTATTTGTAAAATATTGGAAATAGAAAAATATCCTATAGTTCACCATATGGACTGTATTGTGCCTTCTTATCGTAAAGGATATTTTATGTAAATACAGTGACGGTTGCTGCATAAGTGCTGTTGACCTGTCAAAAAAATGCAAGTATCTCATCTACATTTCACAGAAATTATTTTAGACATTCTAAAATATACATAAAATAGATTTTTAGGATAATCTCATTAATTAGAAACCAAGAGCATGCATTTTTTCCAAAATATTATAAAAAATATTTAAGTTAACAGGTTACTGCACCTCTGATGTAGTGGCAGCCAAGGTCTCGATCCCGGTGGAGAACAACAGTAAGGATGTCGTCGTCTGCTCTGCTTACTTGCCGGGACACACAGGTCATGACCAATCATCTCCTCCAGCGATAGTGCGAGAACTAGTTGCCTATTGCAATAGGAATAACAAAAAGCTCATCATTGGGTGTGACGCTATCGCCCACTATAGGGACTGGGAAGTACCAACATCAATGTGCGATGTGAACAAGTATATAGTTGTGTAATCGGTGAAGAGCTTATTGTTAACATCGTAGGCTCAAAATCAACTTTCGTGACGAAAAATCGTACGGAAGTTCTAGACAAAACAATCAGTACGCCTGTTGTGAGTACCAATATTGTTAATGGAGGGTATCCATCGAACCTTCATGATCTGACCACATACATTTTAGATTTGACATGAGGATGGATCGGGTACCCACTCTTCAATTTCGTAATTCAAAAAGCACAGACTGGAGTGTATGCGAAAAGTCCATCCACGAAAGTTAACACAATTAAGAATAGAGCAGAGATTGAAGTGTCGAATGGCCTTATAATTCCTATTAGGAACACTGCCCACTAAAGAAGAAGAGACCTAAGAAAAACTTTATGGTGAAGCAGAAATCTGGACCAAAAATAAAAAGAAGTTCGACATCTCTTCAATCGAGCTAAAGAATTAGGCTACTTAACAGAGTACAACAAGGCCATCTGAAAGGCCAAACGAGAATCATGGAGAAAGTTTTGTTAGATTTACCTGTATTCACCAGACTTTACAAGATTCTCTCCAAAGATCCGAGACAGAAAGAGTCGGGTCGATAAAACGACTAATTGATACATCAATACGGAATCTGGTAAGGAAACGTTAGAGATTCTTTTACAGAAACACTTTCTAGGCAGTCAAATTCTGGAGAAGATGTAATCTGTACCCCCTCCTTCTAGGGAATCGATCACACGACTCCAGAAGGAGGACTAGAACTACGTTGCACATGTTGTCTCTCCAAGCGCAGTGAAACGGCAGATACGTAAATAAATATTTATCTTATTCTGAACATGATTAAAATGGACTGATACATTACTGTCAGAAACATTTAAATAACTTTAAAGATTGGTATGAAAGCAATTAACACTGATTTACAAAAAATCTTTGAAAGTCTGTAAGCTTTGTTCTCAGTGGATTCCCTACAACTAGACTTTAACTCAAAAAGATCTATCTACACTACATCGCTTTAACCGTGGATAGTCTAATTTGGTATACAGCATTATCACATGTGATGTAATATGGGGATATTTCTATGATTTAAAAAAAGTTTAGGTCTTTGAGAATGAGTCGACCCGAGGATTATAATGCGGCATATTATGAAAGTCATTGAATCTATTAATCTATTCCATGTTTTACTTAATCGCTATTTTTTCGAATTCCCACTAATCCTTTTATACTACCATTTGAGTCCCACTACCCATTCACCAATTTACTCACTCATTCACTGTCATTCATTCCACGTCGACGATGGTTAAACGCTAATTAGCTAGGTTCCATGGTGGAACGTCCCAGCCATCACTCATCTGGAGAGACTACAGCTTAACTGTTGCGAGAACGTGAATACACACAAATCTCGCGGCTAGCATCTTCGGTTATTTAAACGTTATGCAGTACTTGTAAAAAAACCTTCAGGTCTGCGTTTTTTCTGTTGCAATAAATAAAATGTTGCTCGCACATGCAGAAACAAAAGAGATACAGTATCAACCATGCCAGGAACAGTTCGAGTCACGGGTCGGTAGTTAGCTATCCACCTAGGCTCTATATTCAGTGCTGGCAAGATCAAACCTTCAACATCTCTTGATTTATGTGGGAGTAAATAGCAAATGCCATTCGCATGTGCAAAAGAGGAAATGACGTGGTATCAACGTTGCCAGTTATCAGTCAGTAGTGGTCTACTGACCTGTGAATGGCGGCAGCATTTATACTCTCTGGTTTCTTTTCTTGCATGTTTAAGCAGGCTTGATTTTACCATCACTAGCTATTAAACATGTAGACGGTTCTATGTTAAGGTTCATTTTTGATTTAGGCTATTATGAACAATAGTATATTCAAAAGAAATCAATATTTTAATTGCACAGCAAAGTGAAGTGATAAAATCGGTTGAGATCCGACAACTAAAATTCAATTTTGGAAAAATGACAAATTCGACTGTCGCAACAATTTGCTTCGATGGCCTAATTGGTTGAGGTACCGACAGCTCTAGTCGAAAGGTTCCAGGTTCGATTCCTGGTTGATGCATTTATATTTTTTTTCTTTATTTCTCAGCTTTTAATGTTTCTTTGGTTTGTGTTCACTTTGGGAATATGAGGATTTACTTTTCATAATTTTGTATAATAAATTGAGTATTATACATATTCATATTTTTCCAAAAGTGAATCTTTTAATTATTTATTGAAAAATGAGAAACAAAGAAATTATATTAATGTGGATAAAGTACTTGATAGCAGACATAGACAGAAATAGACAAGGTCGGGTGTCTTATTTTATATTGAGTAATATTTAGGTATTATTTAAGAAATTACCAATTCAATGACGTAAGTAAGGACATGAACTGCTTCTGCGCTCTGTTGCTTGAGGGCTTTGACTTCAGCAATAGTTCTTTGGGTTAATCGTCGTTTCAGTTTTCTTGAGAATCTGTCAGCGTGGTGCATAGTATGGATTGCCTTACCTTTTGGGCCATCTTCTGTATTACTTTTAACGTCTGCAATATAAATATAAATGTTAAGTTAAAACGGTTTGGTAAAATGCCATAAAAATATAATAATTTCTTAATATTTTATTATTTATTTATTATATACTAATTTCTTAATATTTTATTATATATTGATTTTTTTACCCGTAAACTTAAGATTTAGGGGTGGATGAGAGGTGTTGGCGAATATATATGAGGGAATAATGCAATGATCCTTCAATAAAATAAATTAAAAGTTCCAAAAAAAGTATTAAACCTTCGATTCAACTCATTTGCACAATTTTTGAAGTAGCTGATAACTAAGAAATTTTGATTTCCAGAACGGCCTATTCGATTAGATTGAAAGCTTTGTTAATATTAAGTGCCTAATCTTATTTTTATGTCACAAATTTTTAATATTATATTATAATTTAATAGTGAATGGAAAATTTGTTTATTCTGAACCAAAAATATTAGAAATACAGTACCACTAATAATAAAACTAAAAGCCAGAGTATGAACAAACAACAACTAACACAATAGGCTTCACAGTTGTTACAAATACCTTTAACATATTACAAATACGGCGAATTAAATCAAAGAATAGTTCAAAGCCGCCCCTGTTAAATTTACTTAAAAGAATTTATGTATAGCAAGGTGTACAAATCCAACAAAACAAAAATAAATAAGAAAATTATAATATTTAAACTGAAGCCGCATCCAATAGAAATGCACAATTAAAAGCTTAGCGGCTAGTCACAGTTGGTAATATGCAAGCGCGATTCAAACTTAGGGATACGCCCTCTGGAGGAAATTTGTAGAAGGTCCCTGTAAGTAGGATATCATTCAGTGTTGCCAGAAGTAGCAAAATTTCGCTACGTCGTCGGATTTTAACTGATGAAGAAGTGGATAAGACCTTTTATTGAAGAATCAAAATTTATGTCTAGTAATATGTAATCATACTCTATATATATTTAAGGATTTTTTTTATAAAACCGATTTATTATATTGATTTTTTTTTTAAATTTCAGTTCATTTATTTATTTTGTTTTAAAATCAGTTCATCATTTGGTAACATTGGCGTTCGTGCTCATTGTTTTCATTTTAATTTGTAACAATTACAATTCGAGTTTTTTATTACTTTTTAGCTTTAAATTTGTTTATTTCTTATAGTATGTGATAGTGTTTATATTAAAAATGATATATGGTGTTAATGTTAAAATTAAAACTAAAGTATTTATTATTTTTCAAGTGCAAGTCGTAAAATTTTGTTTTTTACGATAAGTGGATATCTACAAATTCACAATATTGAAATTTTGCAAAAATTTTGTTTAGAATCATACTGTAATCTAATTTGTGATGGTTTTATTACCATTTATATGTATACAAAGTACTACACATTTCAATTTATAATATAAGAATAGGGATAGTAAGATTTTTAAATAAGTTCATCAATAATAAACGTATGGTACCTGAAATGTCCTTTAAACCACATAATAAAACATGTTCTGGATTTAGTAAATACATATTTATATATAATTTATATATAAATATTGCTAGATGTTCTTGTAGCAACCAATAGGTAAATATTTCCAACAAATTATTATATTTATGACGAAAGCACGAAAACTAAACTTAAATTAACACTAAATGAAACTCAAAAACACTATTACAATGAGAATATTATCTAAAAACAGTTAAAAAATCACAAATACAAAATCCGCCCAAAAACAAACACATGCAAATAAACAAACATCATACTTATACTGCCGTCATAAGGAAAAACGCAGTAAAGTCGATTTTTGACAATTTTGAGGTTTTAGTCGCATCAGATTCTTTAGGGAACGCTTTACATTCCTAGTGAACCAAAACTCAAAAAAATTTTTTGTTTTGTCAAAAAAATCCAAAAAAGAAAAGCAGTATCTCTATGAATCAGTAAAAATTCATTAATTACTTTTAAAAATGCAGTAACCAACCATTCGGAATGAGAAATGCAGTATACGCATGTTAACTGAGAAAACTATTAGCCTATTTTCCATAAAACGTCATTGTTTTTGAATCTAAAACGCAGTATTGTCGTATTTATACTGAAAAACGCAGTAACTTATTAATAACAAGTATTTACTGCATTCTTGTTTCCTAAAGCTTTAAGATTGCGTCACTCTTTGCGAATTAAAAACGCAGGAACCTCATGTTCATAACAAAAAACGCAGTAAAACGTCGTTATATAGCATTATACTGCATTCTTGTATCTTAAAGTGTCATGATTACGTCACGCTTTCATAATGAGAAACGCAGTAATTAGATTCGCGCCAAGTCATATGACTGTTCGACCTGATATGAGAGGTAAGTACCTAAACATATTTTTATTTTGGAAAAATTAATAACTAAACTTGCAGAAAAAGTTGGACATAAAGTTAAATTTGATAAAGCTGCCATACATAGTCACATTGAAAGTTTTAACCCTTCAATTTCACATTATCGGAGAGAACACGCCCCTAACAGGAGGTACCTCCCGAGTGACATCACTGCAACTTTTATGTATCAAGACTTTTTAACCAAAAATCCTACAATAAAATACTCATATGACTTGTATAAAAAGGAAATTAAATCAAAAAATATCTCTTTCACAAAGCTTGGACATAAGGAATGTGAAAACTGTGCAGAGTTTGATCTTCATGAGCACAAAAAAGAAAATATGCAACGAGAGTGTAGCGTTTGCAAGGTATACGCTGTGCATAAAGAAAAGGTAGATAACTCAAGAAAAATGTACAGATTAGACGCAGAAACCAATTTCAACGAGGACGAAGTTTGTTTTTCAGCCGATTTACAAAAAGTAATCATGTTGCCCCGATTAGATCAATACAAAATAGCCATTTTTACCCCAAGAATTATTGTTTTCAATGAGTCATTTGTTCCAGTGGGTAAAAAACAGAAGAACTTAAAGCCAACTGCAGTTCTTTGGCATGAAGGGATAGCCGGCAGAAAAAAAGAGGACATAATAAGTGCATTCTTCTCCTTTTTGTTGGAGAATAGGTCTGCCAAGAAAGTTATCTTGTGGGTGGATAACTGCTCGGCACAAAATAAAAATTGGACATTTTTTACTTTTCTTGTATTTGTCGTTAATTATTGTCCTGAAATTGCCGCCAAAGAAATAGAAATAAAATATTTTAAGCCGGGGCATTCATTTATGAGTGCCGACAGTTTCCACCACCAAGTAGAGCTTTCCATGAAGCATAAAAAGAATGTCTGCGACTTTAGAGACTTCAGGGATGCTGTCCAGGACGCAAACTCTGGAAAAGTAATATCCCTAGAGTTAAGGGTTAATAATTTTTATGATTGGCCTGATAAAACGTCCCAAATAAGAGTCAAGAAAAACGAACCACGTCCTTACCTTTGTAAAATGACTACGGTTTTGGTAAATCGTGGCAAGTATTCCCTAACATATACCAAAAATTATGACATGGCTAATCCTATAGAGATTAATTTTTTAAACGTTAAATCTGAAAAACAAGGGATTATTCGTCCGCCACCCAGAGACACACCTAGGGGCATCAATAAAAAAATTATGTCCTCTGATGGCGGAAGAAAAAAAAAACAGTTTTGGGTTTCCTTGGAAGAAAATTCTGATTCGAATGATTTAAATAATTAATTTGAATAGATTGTTTTCAAGTTTGTTTGTTGTTTGCGTTAGTATTTATTTTATTTAGATTTTGTAATATTTTTATAGCTTTTATAACATGTAATGTGCCCTAATAACATACAATTATTCAAAATGCCATAACTTTTTCAACATAAACACTGCTGTTAATTGTTTTGTTTAATTTTTTTGTTTAAGGTACATAATTTTAGTAATTTATTGCACAACCGATGTTTAATTAATAAAAATTGTCAAAATACTAGTTTAAAGTTGTTTTTTCTTCAAGCGTATAATAATGTTTACATTATATCAAGGTACACGTGTTGTAGAAGTAGCCTATTTTTATACTAGTACAAATATTTTTCATTTTTGTACTAGTATAAAAAAGCACAAACCTAATGTTAAATGGCTTATGAACGTTGCAATCAAGTAGGCTGGAACTGTCATTTGAATACTTATTTAATTTGACGTTTATCAGTGTATGATTTAGAATATAAAAAAAATAGTGTTAACCCGTTCGTTATACCTGTGTTTTTCAAGTAAAAAGAAAATGTCAGAAGAAATGCAATCAACACCTCCCGAATTGCTAGAAATAGCGAAATCTTCGATAGAAACCTTAATACCTACGAAATCGAAGAAAGTTTACGATTATGCTTACACAAAATTTGTGAAATGGAGTGAAGAAATCACGTACATTTTTATTCAGAAAATGTTCTGATCGCATATTTTACTAATTTGTCTGAAAAATTCAAAAGTTCAACAGTGTGGTCGCAGTATTCAATGCTGAAATCAGAACTAAATATTAAACATAATGTAAAAATTGAAAACTGTTCAAAATTAATTGCCTTCTTAAAACGAAAAGGTGATAATTACAAACCGAAGAAGTCAAACATTTTTTCTAAACAGGAGTTTGATAACTTTCTTAAGAATGCACCAAACAAGAGATATTTAGCAACTAAGGTAGGTACATAATTTTTTTAAACTGTTATTTAGTTTTACAGATATTCTATTAATTTCAGCTTTTTTATTTTAATTTTTTTTATCCATACTTTTATTTAAATGCTTGAAGAAAAAATAGAATATGTCACTCGGATTAGAAGGCCCATTATATGTTTCGCCCAGTTTGCACAGCTTCGGCTAACGCCTTAGCTGTGCAAAATTCTGGGCTCAACATATAATGTTGGCCTTCTAGTCCTAGTAACTTAATGTACTATTTTTTACCATTTAACCCAATGGCGGCACATCAAAGGTAACTAATGAAAAACGCAGTAACTTGGCTAAAAAAGTGCAAGTTACTGCATTTCTTCTTAGCAAATGTTTAATCAAAAGTACTAAGATGCTAGAGAGAAACGCATTTTCATTAATAAAATATTATTAAAATAAAAAATTA